GCATTTGCCGGAGGCACAAATCCCGGCCATAAGATTTGCTTCTGAGCTAAACAAAGGAACTAGTGGACTCCAGGACTCAACCCCATCAGGCCACATAATCCCACTCAGGCCCAGTGCAGTTAAGAAAGCTGCGCCCACAGAAGCGCCGAGGTGTGCCTGTCAAAAAACAGACAGGCAAGATCACCCAGCCTCTCTCTCCTTCCCTCCTTGGCCACAGTCACTTTCTGCTGGCTGGCAATGCCTATCCAAGAAGGGGTGGCATCACAGAGGAGCAACTCCCACCCACCCACAACCCAGGAAGGCCCTCTGCACCTTGTGTCACAGTGGGTAAAGTGCAGTATTGTAGGGAAGACTTTGTTCATGACCTGAGGTTGGTAAATTGAGCGTCCAGCTTGCTGGGGGGGGGGCAATATATAGCCTGCATAATTAAATTGTAAACCACCCAGAAAGTGCTTTAAATGCTATGGGAGGTATATATAAGCAGCGCACTTTGCTTTCCTTTCTCTTTTTCACCAAGGCAGGGCAGAGCTGCCCTACTCACCGATCACTGTGAGAGTGCCCGTGACCTCTGCAGACCCGAAAGTGTTTGTGACCTCACAGATGTAGACGCCACTGTCCTCCACACGCAGGTCACTGATAGTCAGCCCCGTGATGCGTTTGGTCCACCGACTATCAGCAGGCAGTGGCCGACCATCTTTGATCCATCGGATGGCAGGGTTGGGGTAACCAGAGGCAATGCAAGGGAGCTCTACCAGCTGCCCAGCCTTGGCTTCTCGGGAATGGAAGCCGTCTAGGATGGCTGGGATGGACTCCGCAGGGTCTGGGAGGAAAGAAAGAGACTGAGCCCATGTTGCCCCTCCAGCGCTGAGAACCCCCCCCCCCCGAGCCCAAATTCTGTGAATGGAGAGCATGGAATTATGCGAGTTGGCAGATCTCAAATCCTTTTAAGTCTTTAGCCGCCCTTCTCCATAATCGCCTTTTCCTCACGTCTCCTGAGCTCTCCTCTCCATGGATTTGCATCCGCTTACAAGTTCATCCCCGCAGAACTCCATGCAGAGAGAAGGCAGGTCCCTTCCTGCCCTTGGCTTGGCAGGGAGCCCATCCACAAGACAAAGAGCTCCTAACAAGGAGGAAGGAAGAGCTGTGCCTCCCCCCACAGAAACATGGCACCTCTGCCCTGAGGAGGAGGAGGAGGAGGAGGAGGAGGAGGAAACAGCAAGAGGGAAAAGAACTTGGTGCCCTCCTCTCGGATGGGTGCCATAGGTGGAGTTCCTTTGGGGTCCCTCCCAAACAGCCCATGCTACTGCCAAGGCAAGGGCTGGATGGAAGACCCCTGCTCACACAGGATGTTCTGGCTGCTCCAGACATTCAAAGCAGAGAGGAGCCCAACTCAGCCAGGGGCTCAGGGGAGGTGTGCCTTAGCCTACAGACAGGCTGAGCTGCTGTAAGGGATGACAGAGCACCCTCGTCCACTGGAGGGAGGGCACGGGATCCCCCCAGCAAATGTAGGCCCCAGCGCTAGAGCTAGCAGCTCATTCAAAATCACAAAGCCCAAGACTAGACCTCCTCCAAGGCTGGGGAAGCCAGAGGTGTCTTCGGATGTACTGCAGCTGACCACAGACTTCAAAGGCAAGGGTGGTGCCTCCTTTTCTGCCAATGGCCCCAAGTGCTCTGATATCGCTCAGGTTGGACTGTCCCACTTCCTGAAGCTTCGCCAAAGGAACATAACTACTCAAATTGGGTTGAATTCCATTTTGCCAAAGATCCCAGAAATCAAATTCAGGAAGTGGGATGGCTGAGGCCAAAGGTGAACCTCACCAGTTTGACCATTTCCCCCACCAGGCATGAACAGCATAACTCAGTTCTCCTCCTGGCTTCTCAGGAGTCAGTCTCAGGAAACAGCTGCTCAGGTTGCTAATCACGGCCCTGTTCCCAGGCAGCAAACCAGTGTGGTTGTTCCACACAAACAGGGCCCTAGAAAGCCAAAAGTTGTACCTGAGACAGACAGTCGGGCTCCGTTGCTTTGTCGTGTCTCACCACTGTACTTGTGTTTGGTGATACACCTGTAGGTGGACAAGGCATCTTCCTTCTGGACATCTGATATGTACAACCCCCCGTAGAAAGTAATGAAAAACCTATTTTCTGGAAAACACAAAAAGAGACAAAGCCACATCAGCAATCAGTCACCAGGAAAGGAAGGCAACCCTTGGGTGGACAGCAATGGCCAAGGGCAGGGCACCCACGAAGATGCTTCTTCTGCAAGAAAGGGAGGGGCATGGAGCTGGGGCCCGGAGCCTGGTCTACAGCTAAGCACTGTGTAGGGTCCCCAATCCTTCTTACTTGCAGCTCAGACAGAGGTCCTGCAATGCCAGGACAAGCGAGCCTTCCCCGACAGGCAGTCCTGCCAAGGCAGAGGACTACATTTTGACCAGCCATATCTATATCTTGCAGAAGTTCTTCAAGAAGAGCAAACATCTCGTCCACCAGATTCTTACTTGTCAGAGGGGAAGCAAAAGTGCCACGTCGGGTGTGAAAACAGCCTCTTCTCTCAGGTACACATGGGCATCTCTAACAGACGCTACAAGGTAAGATGCTGCCATCTGCAGGATTAACTCTCTCTCTCACATGCGCGCACACGCACGCACACACACACACACAAACCTCTTCTCCTGCTATGGTGAGGATCATCATAAAAGGTAGTTTGCATTCTGCTTCTACCTTCCCTTCCCTCTGAGATCACCAACCAAGACCTTTAACGATGGTCCCCAACTACAGTAAGTCAGTACCCCTAGTTCTCTCTCTCTCTCTTTCTCACACACACACACCCCTCTGCTCCAACTACAGAAGAATCAAAAGGAAACCCATCCTGTTGAGTTAATAATTAACTGTGAAAACAAACAGCCCCCTCAAGAATCCTGGAGAAGGAAAACCAACAGACCAGGCTCACGGGCAGCTTTGTAGGTAGTGGCTAGTCAGGCTCTCCACCCCACCTCATGCCCACCTTCTGAAAGCAAGAGAAGCAATCCCACCACTTTCAATTATTATCTAATGCATACTTCAGTCATTCTTGGTAGAAGCCACAGAACATACAGAGTAACCCCAATCCCTTGGGGTGCCTCCAGAGGATCCCTCCATCCACAAAGCCTCCTCCCCCAAATCAGAGGCTCTCCAGCCAAAGAAGGCCATGATAGCCAGGGCCACATTCTGGCACCTCCACTTTGCAGAGCCTTCTAATTCAGAGAGAAGGACGTGATCATCCCCAACAGAGGGGCACAGCTCCTGTTCTTTTTCCCATGGAGATTTATAGAAATACAGTACTGGGAACTGAAGGGTTGCAAGTCAAAATATTCATGACACCAGTTTTCCTAAGAATAATAAGGTGAATTCCTTTTGTTCTTCCCAGGCCTCACTGGCCACAAATGGATGGCTGTAACAAAGGTGGCGATGGATTAATACAGTCTTCAGGTTGCAACTTGGTGTAGTGTTTCGAGCAGATAACTAACATTCCAGGAAGACCCAAAGGCAAATTAATGTTGACCACTAAAGGTCCTCAGGAGGCCTCATTCTGGTCATGAAATCAATGAATCACAGGACAGTAGACTTAGAAGGGTCATCGAGTCTAACCAATGCATCCCTAAGAGATGGCTATCCAAGCTCTGTTTGAATGTCTCCCGAAGGGCACTGCCCTCCCCAGAATCTCTCTTTTCCTGTAATATCTATCACGGCTTCAGGTTCCACATTCTGGAGCTGCAGACCAAAAGGCTGCTCCATCATCCACACGACAGCACATCCTAAAGTGGCTAACATTATATGCCCCCTCTGTCTTCTTTTCTCCAGTCTGAACATGCCCACTTATTCAACTGCAACTTGTAAGACTTGGCTCCAGCCTTCTCTCAGCCCAACCAAATCCACAGATTCACCTGGAGGATAAAAGGGAGCAGTGAAAAGAGAGCCATGACAACGCCTCCCCACCCCACCCACCCCCCGCAACCTGAAGGAAGGGAAGGAAAGAAACTTCAGGAATGAGTCCATAAAGTGAAAAGAACAGGCACCATTGGGGTCCCATGCCAAGAGTTTTACGTGTGTCTCCTAAAGGTACGTAACTTTAAAAATCCATTGAACATGCAACCGTGAAGGAAAGATCCAGCAGCCTAGGGAGGCAGCTCTAGGGTGCAGGTGGGGTGATACTCCGGATGGTTTTCTCCAGCTGGTCTTGGCTCAAAAGAGCCAGAGTATTTTGCCCTGCCCTGGCCCAGGGCTAAAAGGCTGGATGGCAAAAGAGGAACTGAAGGAGACCCAGGTTTCCATTTACAGACTCAACCTTTCTGCCTCCTTCTCGGAGGTCTGTTCTCTCTTTCCCTCAGCAGCCACCAAGGAAGAGGCGGGCTGAACTAACAAACGGCTCTCTTTCCTCCTGTCCTTAATCTCTTCTCTAAGTACAGCTCTATCTTTCCCGTTAAAGGATTAACACCCGTCTCTCATTCAACTCTTGCAATGAGATTTTATTTCTAATTACGCCATAATAAAACTGGGAGCGCTCCCAGGGTTTTCTCCAAATGACTTGTAGACACTCTACAAGATTGGATCCTACTCGGCTGCATTGTAATAGCATTTCCCTGACATTCATTAGACATGCATGAAGGAGAGGCTTAAGAATGGAATTGCATTTAAATGGATTTTCTGAGAGAGGAAGATGAAAAGGGGCACCAGGAGGGAGGAGGCGGCTGAACAGCCAATGCAATCCCCAGAGGGAATGGAAATCAGACCTAGCCCATGAAGATGAGGGCCAGGAACCCACGCTGTCTGTCTGTCCAGGCTGCCTCATGGATGCTGCTTGCCTTTTCGACCTTCTCCCTTTGGGCAAAACCCTGTGCCAGCCTCTCAGGAGAAAGAGGCTTGCTGGACATTATCCTACCATGCCAGAATGAGGGCGTGATCACTCAGAACCCCTCATGAACTGACCTGCCATTTACTTCACACACATCTGAATATCTATTGACATGGCACAGGTTGTCCTTTCCCATTTTGGGATGTCTGCCCCTACAGTTAAGTCCCCACTTCCCAAACAAGGCTATCCGGCGTATGTCCGGACCAAACGTCCACGAGAACAAGGCCTGCTTCTATCCTGCTTCCGAGGCATGAAACCAGCCTGGCTTCATCCTCCACCTGCAGTCTTTCGTCAGCTACCAAGGTCTGGGATGACATTCATTCCTAGCCCACCTGCCCACCCTCTCCCAGTTCCTGCTTCTCCCTTCTAGTGCACAGCACGACCACAGCCTCCTGCCTGCCAGCCATTTTGGGCCCACTACTGCCCTTCCAACAGGCCCAGCCATAGCAGGGACTAGTCAACAGCCCAGAGCCCCTGTTGCTCCATCCATAGGATGCCGACCTGAGCAGCTCCTTCCAGTCAACAGAGGAAACTGTTCCAGCCCACTGGGAAGTTTGTCCCTCTCAGGGCAGAAGCAGATGTTACAAATAGCCCATGATTACAGTACAAGAAGGAATTCCAAAATGGCTGAAAGGCCTTTGACTGTGTTGCCATTTATCTCACCTGTAATTTGCAAAATCAGTTTGTTTTGTTATCTAATTGGTCTTCAGCACTTAAGCATGGGATTCCTTGGAGGTCTGCTTTTCCAACATGACTGCTGGAACCATGTTTTCAACTCTGATTGCAGGCTCTATGGAAACCAACCTTCTCTTCCAACTAGCCCCCAAGTGGCCATCTGTGGTTGGTGTGTGGGGTTCTCAGCTATGCCAATTAATTGTTATAATTGTAATTTTATGATTTTATATTGTTCTGTTTTATCTAATGTAAGCCACCCTGAGTAGACATGGTCTAGAGGGGCGGGGTAAAAATCAAATCAAATCAAATCAAATCAAATCAAATCAAATCAAATCAATCAATCAATCAATCAATCAATCAATCAATCAATCAATCAATCAATCAATCAATCAATCAATCAATCAATACATACATAAATACATAAGTAAGTAAGTAAGTAAGTAAGTAGTAAGTAAGTAAGTAAGTAAGTAAGTAAGTAAGTAAGTAAGTAAGTAAGTAAGTAAGTAAGTCCCCATCCCTGTCTCTTACATGTTGCATGGCCATGGGGGTCAGTGGAAAGGTCAGGCCCAATGCCATAGCCAAGTTGAAGGCAACCGGAGTGGGCTGGGACACACCACAGCCCCTTGTACCTACAGAGGCCTCAGGACAAGAGAGGGCCTTCCAGAATGAAGCTGGACTGGCACGTCAGCAGCAGCAGCAGCAGCGGCTGTTCCATGGCCATGTCAAATAAAAGCCACGGAAGGAGAAACCAAAGGAAGGCTGCTGACTCCCACCTCCGGCCCTCGCTCCCACCCCCACTGCAAGTTCACCTTACTGAGCGAGCAGATCGTCTAAAGTTTCTTTCAGTTTCCTATGTCTGAGGTGGCACCTGTGTTGGAAGAAATGCTGCCGCTCATGCTTCAAAGAGGAGGTCTCTCGCGAGGGAGGGAGGGAGGGAGGGCACAGCATCTGCTTCAGCTCTCCCGACTTTCTCTAGAGAAAGCAGTCCAGGTGCAGCCGGGCTTGATGTGGCAGCTGGCCAAATGGGCACACCAGCTCCTCTCTCCAACCCACCACGACCTACACCTGCCCTGTGCCCACTCTCGGCACCTCCTGGTAGGTACCCTGGCACTTGGAGGCATTCATGTCCCGGAGGTGGCCTACGCAGAATGAAGCAGAGGAGGAGGAGGAGGAGGAAGAGGAAGAAGAGACTCTACCTTCCCATGCCTAGTCACATCCCAGCAAGGAAATTTCTTATCGCATTCATTATGCACTGGAGGAAGAGGGGAACAAGCCAAGGACCCAATCCCACAACCCAGGACTGTCAGATCCAAATACAGAAGGGAGGAAGGGATGGGGTATCATGGAGCACAACCGGTACCTTCTGGCAGAGAGGGGAGGGTTGTAGTATTTGGGGGACTGGACGCTCCAGCTTCTAATCACAGCAAATAGGTTGATCAGGGTTCTGCGACCCCAGAACTTTAAGGCAGGGACACTGAAATAACAGAGTGTGGGGCTTTCCAGATTTCCTTGCTAGTTCTCTCTCCCAAGAATAGGCATGTTGCTCTGAAGTCTGTGGAAGTCTGCAACAACATATAAA